AATTATAAGATTTATTGTTGTTATTGTAATTTTCTTTCCAATTATTTTTGTTTAAATAATAAATTTAATAAAATAATAATATTAAGAAATTATAGGAAATATATATTTCGATAAAAAAGAATTTAATTGCAAAAATATTGTTTTGAAGGATATAAAAGCAAAAGATAAATTTATTATTATGAAATACATTGATTTTTTTAGAAAAAAATATTAAAATAAAAATGAATTCGAAAAATTATAATAATTTTGTTGTTTTATATAATAATTATACATATTAAATTAATATTATTAATTGGGCAGTAATTGCAGGATTAAGTTGCATGAAATCCTTGTTTAAAAAGTAGTGCAGGCAAAGTACGCGAGGTCTTTTGTAGCGTAGCGTTTTGGTTGGCTTTGAAGCACCCACCTCTTCTATGGAAAATATATTGAAAGGAAAATGGTCACGGCAGTGGCATATATGAAACATCTGAGTTCCATGTAAACGAAACCTGAGTGTGTGGCACATAATCAATACGGGAGAAAAAGGACCGCGAATCTCAGGTAAATAAATTAGGAACATTATAAATTATCGTATCCATGTAATTAATTCGGCCACCATGAAGATCAAAGAATGTTCGACATTCTTGCAAGAGCGTGTTTCCAGTATGTTCATGCACGATGTACGGTGGCATCGAAATTAAATAAAAATTGCAGGGATCACGCTCAGTCAATTGGCCGGCAGTGTTGAGACCTTGACAGTCAGATCGACTGTGCCAACATCTTCCAGATGGTGCGAAAAAGGCATGAGTGTGTCGCAGTCCTATGATCTTATCCAAGGCACGGTTTAAAAAACCCATCGTCGTCCAAATTGACCGTCGGTCATTAAATCGCTGTTGAAAATGAATCTCTTCATCGCTGTCGGGTTGCAGTTACAGATCCACATTGCGTGAGCCCAAATCGGTGGCTCGAGCATTCAGTGTTCTGACTTGGTCGCGGAGCTGGAACGTTTCGTTCCTCAGATGTCCTTCTGCTTCACGGCACTGGGCGTACTCATCCCTCAGGGATAAAATTTCTGCCTTCAGCTTCCGTGCAGTCCAGAAAAACCAAAGACCAAACATGCAAGTGACGGTCGCCATGAAAACAAAGAAATGCAAAAGGTCATCTGCATCCGATGATTCCAGTGGTGCATCGTCGATGCTGCAGACATCAGTTCTACCAAAGCTCGCAGCACGGGCAGTTTGGAAAAAAAAGTGTCAGCAAAAACACATATCGCAAAACGCCGGAGCCGCCGCCATGGCTGGAGTAGGCCTCAACAGGGAACTGTCTTCAGGCTGGTACTCATTCGGTGAGTGCTGTTCAAACTCAGAAGCCTCGTTGGTGTCAAACATCTCGTTGGATTCAAAGGTCTCTAAGGCTTCCGTCTCGTTCGCTCCAACTTTCACTGCGTTGTGGCTGGTAGAGTTGTTGAGTGGAAAGTGATCGTGGTTGTGACATGGAAGTTGTGTGGTAAATTCATTCCTGCTTTCAGCTCGCTCTTGTGCAGTCTTCTTCTTTGACGCCTGGTATGTTGGGTCCCAGGTGTACTTGATGGAACCATGGCGAACTCGATCTGCAAGAAGTTGCCTTGCAGCCATCTTTGTAAAACCGTCGCCAAATTGTCTCTCAGAAGAGATCCATTTCAAGATCCCACCAATGCTCTCAACTTGTTCTCGTAGGACTCTAAGTTCAAGGTTGGTGCGCTTGTCAGTGGCACCATGGTTGATGGCATCTCGGTGGTAACTGTCGTACAAGGCTTTGGCATCAGTGACAAAGATGGGAGCCAAATTGGGATCCCTCACATTCAAGGTCTCCTTGAGGCTAGCATTTGGGTGCATGGTCATGTACCAAAAACGAACAACAAACTCAGTGGAGTCTACAGCTTGGGCGGCAGACTGAACTTCTGCTGCAAGTGAAGATCTCGCGACCCTCGGAAGTCGAAAGGATCTCCAGTCCAAAACATGGTATGGGCTCTCTGTGCCGTTGAAGGTGTCCTTGTGAGTCAAAAGAACTATAAAACCCCCTTGGCTAGACCCATCATGACGAACTCCCAAGGCAGCATCAAATATGCAGCTCAAACGAAGATCTTCCAACTTGCCCAACGGAGGAAAACGCAAACGAACATCGCTGTTGGTTTTGCAAAAACGCAAGAGTTTGTTGGCTTCTAAAAAAGCTGAAGAAAGTCCAGTGCTCATCTCGCCGCTCAACAAGGAAGTGCTCGCCTGGATGTGCGGTGAAGATTGCACAGCAGGCCATTGAAGACTTCCAAGCAAACCTCTCAAAAGAGTCTGTTCTTTCTCGGTCAAAGGCTGATGGGACTGTCAGCCTTTTTCAACTGGAATTGGTTGGATCTTTTTGATGTATTCATCATGGCTCACATGCCAAGTACCATCTGTGTCTCGTGTCATGCTGGCACCGCAATACTCAAAATTCTCATCCTTCTGCCAAGTGCGAAATTGAAAAGCTGTTTTGAGCTGTGCTTAAGCCAGCCCAAATTGCGCAGTTTGCGCGTGGCTTCTAGAAACCATCGTTTGGGTGCGTCCAACTGACCATAAATTGGTTTGTACAAAAACATCCTTGTATTTTCATCGCCTCCAAGAATTCGGAGTGCATCAGCTGGAAGTCGTACCCAAAGACGTCGTTCTTGGGGCAAACCCTGAAGAAATGCCGTGCTAACATCGGCCGACCAGCCACACCATCCAAGGCTAGCTGATATTGACAAAAACAGTGCTCTGCCAAGTCTGGTAGATGCAGGCGATGTGGTGTCAAGTTCGCCATTGAGTGCATCTTGGTCAGCATATCCACGCACCACAAGTCTGGCTTTGGCACGAGGTGTGCCATCGCTGTTCTTTGTTCATTTGAGAAGCATACGGCTTGACAACGTATGTCAATGTCAAAGGACGCCATGTTGGCTTCTTCAGGTGGCTCTTCAGGAGGTCGATCATATGGTGTTGGGATCTTTGGTAGCTGTCGATATGGTCCAAAGGAAATGGTCTCCTGTTGTTGGAAACGCCTTCTTTGGGCTGCAAAGTCCTCATTAGTGGCTGGTTGATAGAGTGCCGCTGTATAAGGATCAAGTTCTGGAACTGGAGGTTGAGGTCGTTGAGGTTGATTTGATGAAGTAGTTGGATCGAGTTGGGGTGGAGGTTGCACTGAATCAGGACTGGGTTCTCCGGTTTGGTCCGCTGCAGAGTTTATAGCGGAAGGAAGTCCAATGGCCCCAGGCTCATCAAGTCCAGGTTGAGCTGCTGTCTCCTCAAGTCCAGGGGGAGCAGCGGGAACTCCAGCATCCTGACCGGGCATAAGTCCAAGCGACCCGGCAGGTGGAGGCAAGGCTGGGAGTTCAGCTTTCTGATTGGGTTCAAGTCCAAGCGACCCATCAGGTGGTGGAGCCTCATCTAAATCCAATTTTGCAGCATCAGGAGCAACAGAAGGCGAGTAGGCCAGAGATGGCGCAGGGATGTCCGAGAGAAGTTGGGATCCAAAAGCCTTCTGCGTTGTGCCGGAGGTTCCAAGTCGGAGTCCACATCATCAAGGACCTCTTCATCGGTGTCGATGTCGTAGATGTTGCGCTTGTTCTGGATGGTGAGATCTGCAAATCGTGTTACACCGCGGGATTTCAAACTTCTGATCACCGCCTTGGCATCTTCAAAGTTGCCCATCATATTGGTGGTGGGTTTGCCGATCTCTGGGCGCACATGGAGAGGAGCTGCTCGCAAGAGTTGGGACTTGTAGGCGAGCCAGTAGATCTTCGGCTTGCCGCTTTCGTCTTCTTCACGCATCAAAACTGTGGCTGGCCCCTTCCATCTGATTTTGACCAAATCAGGTGCTCTGGCATCTCTCCAAAAGAAGCACTTCTGTCCTGGCATCAAAGGAATGTTGGTGCCCGCATACTTTCTGAGCAATGCTCTCCGCAGCTTCATGTCGGTGTCGACCTGAATAATGGCCATTTTGGCAGTTGCCGGACGAGCCAGTTCATGCTCGAAGCTGTCGGTCAGGTGCACCGGAGTGAGAGAAGTACCAAGAAATTCTCCAGGAAATTCAGGAGATTGGCCAAGAACCCATTGCGCAGGAGCTGTTGTTCATCTGAGGGATGACGTAACACAAAGCCTGAATAATGGCCTTGGCGCCATTAATGCCATAGTCAGTGAGGAAGGCTTCCAGGGCCTTGCGAAGTATAGCATGTCGACACTCAATTAGCGCCAATTGTTCATGTGCCTCACCAGCCGCAACAACATGTTATATGGAGTGTGCATCCGTCCATTCAGCAAACTCAGAACTGAGCCAACCTCTGCCCTCGTCAGTGAGAAGTCTTGAAGGTGGCCCAAAGTGGTTGATCCATCCCTTTTCAAGGGCATTGATGTAGTCCTGGGACTTTTCGCTGGAGACCAGGTGTGCTTTCTGAAACTTGGTATCCTCGTCAATCACTGACAAGATTCAAGATTGGAATTTTTTTGTCCCCGTTCTTCAACCAAAACACATCAGCTTAAATGGACTCGTTGAATCTCAAGATTCTTTTGGTGGATGCAGGCGCAACTTAGTTGGGTTTTCGATACCTAAGGCAAGCATGACATAGAAATTGACGGGCAGCTTGAAGAACAGCTTCAGAGGCACCTCGGGATTCCAGCATCTCAGTCAAGGATTCTGGTGAGGGGTGTCCAAGGTTTCTATGAAGCCGCTGAATTGTTTTGACAGCTTCGGCACGGCTGCTGGTCATCAATTGGACAAATTTTCCTTGAACTTCCTTGACCTCTCCAATCGCATACGCATCATCCCAGGGGCATGGATCCTCTGGAGCTGTCAAGGCTGCAGCAATGGAAGCAGCAAGTCCAGGCTGGTAATCTTCCATATAGCTGGTCCGGGTTCTGCCAATGCCCGGAAATTGACCTTCAAGTCTGCAATGCTCATGGCTTTTGTCACATCGAAGACACAAAGCAGCAACAAGAGCCTTCTTGGTGGAGAGTATGCCGGTCGTCTTCTGAACAGGTTTCCAAATGCCATCGGAGTCCAAACAACATGCACCATAGCAACATTGATCGAAGATGGCATAGAGACCCGGCAAATTCTTCAGCGCAGAAGTCAACCAAGAAAGTGCTCCATGAGGCTGTTCAATGTGGGCTTGTCGACCGCCATGAACTTGGGAGAGGTAGATCTCTTTGACAAATTTGAGATGATTCCTGTGGTGGTCATCTCGCTGCTGCTGGAGGGATTCCTTCTTCTCAGGAGTGGTCGCATTGATTGCTTGCATGCGACTCCAAAGTCCACAGCGAGGAGCCAAAAAGACCTCCTCTGGCATTTCCATGTTCAAACGCATTATGAAAACCTTCCGGTGGGATGGCAAGTCAAAATCCCAACCGGTCTCATAGCCGAAGGATTCCACATGGCATCCAAGAGTCTCAGCAATCTGGCTCATTCGAGACTTACCAGCATAAACCTCCCAGATGACACGAGGTTTGACTTCAGGGTTGTTGAGTTCACGAGTAACAGTGGCATGCACTCGTTTTTCCTCGGTCACCAGGGCATTTTCAAACATCTTCCAGTGCTTGTTGAGGACGTTGCGTTCACCAGGTACGCATTGAAGAGCATCAGAATCAAGAAAAACCTTCTCTTGTTGTTGATAGGTCTGAAAGTCCAAGACCTGTGAAGGCTGTGAAGTGGAACCATCTGAAGCCTGCGACTGATCGTCCAGCTTGAGGTCAAAACTTGGAGGTTGTGAGGCCAGCTCTGCATCAAAATCCTCGGTGAGTGAGAGAAGATACTCACCATGCCGTCCGACAATGATTTGTCGCCAGTCATGACCCTCAAACATCATTTGTTGCCGCTTGAAGTTGATCACAATGCCAAGGCTCTCGATGATCGGACGCCCAAGAAGCATTGGAGTCTCGCCAGCAATGATGAAGGCCTGAACGTAGCCAAAGGAGTTGTTGATGAAGACAGGCATACGAGCAATCCAGTGGCTCGTGGTGGAATGGTCGCCGCCAAAGTGGAAAGTGCGCGACGTCTTGGTCATTGCAATTCCATTTACATCAAACCCAAGTTGTCGAAGATGGTCCACATAACGATGGAAAGGACCTGGTGACCTGAACCCATCAAGAAAGCACTAGCACCTGGGTCAAGCATTGTGCAGTCCACTCGAGGTCGCCCTGCTAGATCTTCAAAAATCACATGTCCATGCTCACTTGGAAGACAAGTGACTGCCATTCCCTCGATGTGCTGCTTTTTGGAAGGGCTTGCAGGTGCAGAGGTAGAACCTGAGTGCTTAGCAGGTCGTGGGCATTGTGCAGCTTGGTGACCATAGGCGCCACATCGGAGGCATTGAAGCACAGCTGAAGCTCGACCCTTGGGGTCAGGTGCACGTCGATCGCCACGAGGTGGATGTCGAACAGTGGTAGAGCTTCGAGCCTTGCCCTTGCCCTTTCCGCCTTTCTTGCCATAGCCCTTTCCCTTGGAGGGAGAGTTGGATCCAGTGCTCGTAGGCGAAGCTGCTCCTTGGTCAATCAGAGCAACGACTGGAAGAAAACCTCGGGAAAGTTTGAGATCTTGAAAACGGCGACGAGCATCAAGATATGCAGCATACGCCATCAAGATATGCAGCATACGCCATGTCATACGATTCAACGTCAAAGTTGTCGCCAAGCTCAGAACCCTCAAAGGCGTCGTCATCCTCATGGAAGTAGGCTGCATCGCCATCAAATGACTCATCACCGATCCAGCTAGGGTCATCACCTTCGTAGTTCTCATCATACTCATAGTAGGCCTCTTCGAGGACCTCAGGCTCATCAAAGTCTTGATCATCCTGAGCAGCATAGGCCTTTCCACGGTGGAAAGGCTTGCCAGGGAATCGATGTTGTGGTCGATCTTGGCTCACAGCTTGTTTGTAGTCCTGTCCAAGAATCACAAACAGCGCTTCTTGGACCCTGAGTTTCTCAAGCTTCGGAGCCTGGGAAAGGACAAGCTGGTGCTGCTCCTTGGTCAAATTGGCACGACGCAAAAGAATCCAGCCCTGCATTTGATCCGGAAGCTTGACTCCATGTTCTGCCAGCTTCCTCATGCTCTGTGACAAAGTTCAACAGAGTGGTACCTGGCCGTCGTGACAAGTTGAAATAGGCATCAAAGTCTTGGGACATGCGAACTCTGGCATCATATTTGAAAGCTGCATCAAGAATGGAGATCACATTATCGAACGACTTCTCTTCGTCAATCTTGGTCACATCAAAACTTTCAACAAACTTCCAAGCCGTCCCTTGCAGTGAACCGATCAGATTCAAAACCGCTTCTACTGAACGTTTCTGCAGTTTCATCTTCAAATGGTATATGCTGATCCGTTTGCGCGATTCTTGGTATGAGCTAGGGTTTCCATCAAATACTGGTATGTACGAGTCCTTGGTGAAGTTGGTGTCCAAGGTCGAAGAGCTCGTGCTCGACATGAAGAGCAACAAGAAAGAATTATGTGTACCAAAGAAACAAGTGAACCTGTCCAGTCTGCGGACAGGAACACAAGTAACTTATGTATACCAAAGAAACAAGTGAACCTGTCCAGTCTGCGGACAGGAACACAAGTAATTACAATTACCAGGGTCGTTGTCAGGAGCAAGAAGCACAAGTTGATGCTATCAAAGAGCTCAGCAGGAAAGTTGGAGTTGGAGTGGAAGTAGATGGTGAAAATGGAGTAGCGCAGTGGAGCCCAGGAGCGCAACTGCTCCGCTGCCAGTATCAACTGGGCAGCAGTTGCAGGATCAAGTTGCACGAAGTCCTTATCCAAAAAGTAGTGCAGGCAAAGCACGCGAAGTCTTTTGCAGCGTAGCGTTCTGGTTGGCTTCGAAGCACCCACCTCTTCTGTGGGAAATATATTGAAAGGAAAATGGCCACGGCAGTGGCATATATGAAACGTCTGAGTTCCATGCAAGCGAAACCTGAGTGTGTGGTACACAATCAACAGATATATTCTTTATTTCCAAAAAAGAATAAAGGTAAATCAAAGATATAGAGCTGAATTAGTTTGTATTGATTGTTTGAATAAGTATGTTATCGTAGTCATAATAAGAAGGAAAAAACAGAAGGTATTATTCAAGGAAGAAAGAATACGATACAGAAGATGGGCAAGAAACCTGAATTCATATATACCGACGACGAGAAAGCTATAGCAAGTGGTGAATTCCAAGTATATGTAGAAAACGAAGGCATTGAATTGTATAGGAGAAGAGGCCACCCTGTTTTTGCCGAGCTTTTTATAAAAAAAATAAAGACAAATTATGTAAAAGAGTTGAGAACGATGAAAAGAATTAAAAAACGAATATACAATGGATAAATTATATAGATAAAATTATGTTAATCTATGATAATAAAGATATACATCCCGCTACTGGTAAAATACCATATAAAGCCAGAAATAAAGACAATTAAATATTATAATGAAAACAAAGAAACAAAGATTCTATCCTGAACTATCTGTGGGAAACAAAATAAAAATCAAAAGGAAGAAAGCAACAACGGAGAAGGAGAGAACCTCAGATTATTTGAAAGGTGAATATACAGTAGAATTCATTAATGAAAAATTAAATCAAATATATTATATATTAAAAGGATACAATAAACCACCATTGAGGTATGAATTATTGAACATATAAATTACCATTTATATGAAATCTATTTAAAGGAATATTATCTGTTTATATATATATATATGATGCAGCCTCCCAGGTCCCCCCCCCAATGGGTATGGGTATGTAGGTATAGGGCCAAGAGGTTATGTTCCCAGCCATGGGTAGTAGTCGTGCGTCGTAGTGACTCGTAGTTAGTGCTAGGGATTGGTATAGGTATGTATTGGTACTACAGGTGCTATGTTCCCCGCCCCCCCCTGTGGGTGGGTGGGGGGGTTGTATAGTATTGAGTCGTAGTTAGTAGTAGGGATAAGTATGTAGTAGTACGATAGGTGCTATGTTCCCCGCCCCCCCCTGTGGGTGGGTGGGGGGGTTGTGTAGTAGTGAGTCGTAGTTTGTAGTAGGGATGAATATGTAGTAGTACGACAGGTGCTATGTTCCCCCCCTGTGGGTGGGTGGGGGGGTAGTGTAGTAGTGAGTCGTAGTTAGTAGTAGGGATAAGTATGTAGTAGTACTACAGGTGCTATGTTCCCCGCCCCCCCCTGTGGGTGGGTGGGGGGGTTGTATAGTATTGAATCGTAGTTAGTAGTAACTAGTACTTAGTACTACAGGTGCTATGTTCCCCGCCCTCTATAGATGTCCCACTTCTAGCACCTCCCCCCCCTGTGGGTGGGTGGGGGGTTGTATAGTAGTGAGTCGTAGTTAGTAGTAGGGATGAATATGTAGTAGTACGACAGATACTATGTTCCCCGCCCCCCCCCGTGGGTGGGTGCCCCCACCCCACCCGAAACCCCCGAGAAACGACCGCACAGAATATTACAAACGCAAGAATCAAGAAGGTGCGCACATTGACATTGTTACACCCCCCCGGGTGGTTGTGTAGTAGTGAGGCTTGCAGGAGTAGAATTTTTCCTTGGGGATGATAACACCTGACAACCTGCTGCACTGCCATGATCCAGGTGGGGTGCGGGGGCCTCGCATGTGCGGGATGGATTGTGGCTGCACTCAACAGCCGTACCGCGCGGGTGAGCAGTAGCTTGGGGTTGGCAAATTGGTCCGGCAAGAAATTCTTCCACATGCTCCAGCCAATGGCGGTGGCCAGAAGTTGGTACACTGCATATTCATGGGTAGTTTTAGTGAGACCGAGTTGTGAGACCCTCTGTTCCCAATCATCTACCATGGCAAGCGACGGCCCATATACTTTCATTCGAGCATGATTTTGAAAAAAGAGGTCATAGTCATGATCTGGACTGAGTAATCCACCACCCAGGCCACTACAGTGCACAATGAGGGGCCGGTCATGTATGTGAACATCTTCTTTCCACACGTCCTCCAATGAAAAAACCAACTGGGCCCACCTACGAGAGCGATGCAACGGAGTGTGTGCTTCACTGGCTGCATTGCCACTGTAGATTTGTCGGGCTAGTTATACGACATCAAAGGTCTGATCATTGATCGCAGTCTGCCAGACTTTGGGTACACAGAAAGGGTCTGGGAGGCCAAAATCAATATGTGCTGCCTGTGTCAAGGCGCGACAGTTTAGGCCTCTGCTGTCTTCTCGTTCCCATAGGCCCAGTAGAGACACTAACTGCCGATATGTAAGGGGGGGAGGCGGCAGTTTGGCATGCAGTCGTAACCCAATGACTGGAAGGAAATTATGATGCATCCACTGCGGCCGCCATTCAGCAGTGCCAAATAATGCGGCCGCAAGGGGCATCCAACCATGTTGAGCTAACTCGGCCAAGCGGCTAGGTAGCCGTTTCTTCGCACTGGTCCCATGCAGGATAACGGGTCGCATGAAATCCGGTTCGATCTCCATGGCCTGGTACTTATTCCTCCATAAACCAGGATCAGATTAAACTAAACACAGCTTGGTGGTAGGCGTTTCTATTGTTCTTACAAGTGTACCGTAAAACCATACTCCTTGGTACTTATAAATATTAAAGTATATGTATACGATAATCGTGATACGCATTGGCCGTGAGTTTGCCAAACAAAAAGTGCGTTTTAAACACACATGGAAAATTGTTTAATTGGAAAATCGAGTATCGCCAAAAAATTTGCCGTACATTGGAAAATCGAAATGAAGTTTGACAAATGTGAAAAAAACATTCAAGCACACTCTCACGCGTCCTGTTTTCTTCCAAAGCTTGCACTGTCGGGGGGGTTTTCGATGTGCTGGTCTTGTTTCCAGCTATGGCACAAAGAAGGTGCGGAAAGGGTCCATGCTACCCAGTATCTTCCATTTTTGTTTGACTACTCGAAGTATTGCTTTCAAGTGTCAGTGCACCCGTTGTTTCCCTTTCCGGGAGTGTAACGGGGTGGGTGCTCGACAAATCCCTTTGTTTTAAAAGGGAAACCACTCCCTCCCACCACTTGAAGAAAACGTATCGGATGATGGGAAATGAAAATGGATTTCACTGCAAACGTGTTTTCAATTTTGTCGGTTTGTTTCCGGACAAACAGAAAACCAAAGGTTTCTACCAGAGATTAAACGTATGGAGTTACAGATACGTTGTTGTTTGAAAATGAGAATTTCACTTCTCCTATGCCAAATCCTAAGTCTGAAACTTAACTACGCAAACCCTAAACGCGTGCAACTATCCTACGCAACCTACAAACCAAAACTCCAAACACCAAACCAAAAATCAAATAAACTCAAACTGCAACACACGGTCTCAGCACAACACGAATCAAAGAAACTGACATGAGAAAAACTGAAATGACTGCCGACGGAACGTTCGTTGGTTGTTTTACTCGCCTTTGCTTTGCAATGGTCTGGGGTCGAAAATGCTAGACCCGGGTGACCATAGGGTTGGAGAAACAGTTTGGGATTTGTCCATTCTGGCAACATTGATTAACCTTTCAAGTTTGAAAGTTGGGAATGCTTTCCAGCTGGATTGTTTTCCCACAACCCCCCCTTGCCAAGGGCAGTTTTTGGGTGGGATAAAGTGATGGGTGGGACAAAAAGTGTCCATGGCAAGATAAGGACGGAACCCGCCCACCCAAACCCTTAAACAAGGATGGCCACACGAATATAGAATGAATTCATTCCAATGGGTCATTAAAGCTTTACAAGACAGAAACTTCAGGGTGATAAAAATTCACCTGAAAAATAAAACAGAGTCTCTTCTTACTTAAAAACGAGACCTTCACAGATTTGAAATAATTTGGCCGTTTGGTTTAGTTTGGGTTTTCAACGTAACGGTTTGGTTGTGTTGTTCAGGTTGAGGTTTGGTCACGCAGGTTAACGTAAGTTACACGCAAAGGGAGGAAGGAAGCGCAGAGAGTTACAGACCGGACTATAACATAGTCCTGTTAGGACGGCTAGAGAGAAAGTATTGTCAGCGAGCTGAAATAGCCTTTTCCTATGCCAAATCCTAAGTCTGAAACTTAACTACGCAAACCCTAAACGCGTGCAACTATCCTACGCAACCTACAAACCAAAACTCCAAACACCAAACCAAAAATCAAATAAACTCAAACTGCAACACACGGTCTCAGCACAACACGAATCAAAGAAATTGACATGAGAAAAACTGAAATGACTGCCGACGGAACGTTCGTTGGTTGTTTTACTCGCCTTTGCTTTGCAATGGTCTGGGGTCGAAAATGCTAGACCCGGGTGACCATAGGGTTGGAGAAACAGTTTGGGATTTGTCCATTCTGGCAACATTGATTGACCTTTCAAGTTTGAAAGTTGGGAATGCTTTCCAGCTGGACTGTTTTCCCACAACCCCATTTTCTCACAGGCCAGCCAACAAACGCTCAAGAGCACCTCTGCCAAGCTTGATGAAGAAACTTTCCGCTGAATAGACGCAGGCATA